GTTCTATGGTGGGCTGGATGGTAGGGGTGGGTGGAGGTACCTTTCACCGTCTAATTGCTTCCCTGGCTGGACAATCTTACTCCAGTCGTATTTCTTGGAGTCGTTCCCGCTGTCTTCTACGACTAGCCGCGGCCGTGCCAGTTCCCATGGGTGGTCGCCGAAGAATTCTGAACGCAGCTTGTCTTCTGGGTATGCGATGGGTAGTGGTTGGAATAGTTTGCTGGCTTTCCGCGCCTTTCGCATCTTGGGTATGCGCAGGACTGGGCGGGCGAGCGTCTCGCCGGGCGGTATGTTGCCGACTACGTCGTACCATTGCGGAAGGTTGGGTTCTCGTTTCGAGTCGAAGAGGGCTTTCGCGGTCTGGCGCACCCGCATCGGGCGGAAGTCGTAGCGGCCCATGGCGGGCGGTGATTTATTTTATATTGGCAGATATGTTATCGCATCGGCGGGGGTTCCGGAGGGAGACGGAGGGTGTAGCAGCAGGTCGGGCGGCGCAATTGATCGTGTGGTGGATATTGGGGTTCTTGCCCGCAAAGTCCGCAACTCCGCCAAGACTTCGCGACGCCGAAATCTTTGGAGACTATGACCGCGACACTCGGCACCCGCCACAATATCCTTCCACATATCCTCCCACCCAGGCAGCTCTTCGTTGAGCTCCCCGTAACCAATTGCACCCGAACTCCCCCAAATGGACACCGTCTGAACTGGCTCCCTCTGACACAATGCTCGACCTCTCATGTCCCTCTTCCGCACCCTCGACCGGACCTCTGCAGTCTCCAATACCGCCCATGCTCGCCCCTTCCTCACATTCCTGTACCCGAATCCCGAGAAGAATGCATCAAAGAGGAGGTTCAGCAAGAAGGCGGTAGACAATGCCCCGTTATCCGATAGGCCGTCTGCTCGCATGGACACTTTCTTCATCCAGGCATTGGTGCGGGCCGGGTCGTGCCCAAAGCATGCGAAACACATACATACCCCGCGCGCCATAGCATCGCCGACACCGAAACACCAGACATCACGCAGGAAGAGCACGTGGTCAAAGTCGGAGAAGAAGCTGGATATTTTCCCCGAGCGCAAAGGGCCGCTTAAGAAAGTCAAAAACTTCGCCGAGAAGGAGCTGCAGGCCTTGGTGGACTACTATGGCATGGAAATTGATACCCGGCCTGAGGCGGATGTTCCTGACGAGGGAAAGCTGGTGTGGAATGTTGGCGATGACCACGAGCCCTGGCCTCTTCGCGAGCCGGCAGATGCGTTGCATATCAAGAAGTTAGAGGATCTGCTGAAGGATGATGAGTCGCCGCACGATGAGGTCTTTGATACGTACAAGAAGCTGCAGTCCCCAGGAGTTGTGTACCTTACTACCATGACTATACGAGCGCTACTGCACCATCTCGCCATTGTCGAACGCCCCACACCCATCGCAGCGCAACGGTTCCTCTCGGTCCTAGACGATATGAAGACGGCGCATATACATATAGTACGTTCAGAATGGACATCAGCCATACATCTCACTGGACGCGCCATGGGAACAGTGTCCGACGATGACCTACAAAACACCCTTCGCATCTGGCAGGACATGGAGCACCGGGCCGGTCTAAAGGGTGGATATGTCACATTCAACGTGCTCTTCAACATTGCCGTCAAAGCGGGCAAATACACACTCGCCGAGACCTTCATGAAAGAGATGCAAGCCCGAAAGTTACCCATGCACCGCCACTACCGCGTAGCACTCCTCTACTACTACGGCGTACTCCAAAACGGCGATGCCGTCCGAAAAGCATATCTCGACCTCGTCTCCGCAGGCGACATCGTAGACACCGTCGTCATGAACGCCGTCATAGCCTCCCTAATGCGCGCCGGCGAGCCCTCAGCCGCCGAACACGTCTTCGAGCGCATGAAGCGGCTCCACGCGCAACGCAGCGCCACAGCCCGCGGCCACGTCTTCTTCAACCGCACCTGGCGCGACCGCCGCGTGCTCGGCATGAAATTCCGCGACGAAGCGCGGCGACTGAAGAAAGAAGGCGGAGACGAAGAGCTAAAGCAACTCCAAGACCTCGCGCCCATCGGCCCCGATTCACGGACTTATGGGATTCTGATACGGCATCATGCAGCTGTAGCCGGCAACATCGACCGCGTCAACGACCTCCTCCAGGAAATGAAATACAACTCCGTCTCCCTCGACGGCACTATCTTCATCGTCATATTCCACGGTTTCAACTCTTTCGGCGGCGTTAGATACTCCTCCTGGACACTTTCCCGCCTGGAGAAAATTTGGACACAGTATCTCAAAGCGCTCAACAGCAATAATATGGAGCGGACCTGGCTGTCTAGTCTGGCTGTTATTGCGGCACTCCGTGCGTTCGGGCGATGCGCGACCCCCGAACGCATACTCACAGCGTGGAACGAGATTCGCGACTTGTGGCACCCCGATGAGAGGGAGTTGGAGGCTGCGTTGGCGGTGCTGAGGAGGCTTGTGCCGAGGAGGTTGGAGGGGGGGGCGGATGAGGGGGGGAGGATGGGGTTTTTTGATGGGAGGAGGTTGGGTTGAGGGGGGGTTGGTTGTAGGAACGATTGTGCTGAGGAGCGTTGTGTTGGTAATGGGGCATGCGTTATGTATCACTACGCTCTTTCTGGTCTGTAAATATATTCGCTGCTATCCAGACTGCGAGGCACGTGTAAGACTTATTTGGAATATGTCTCCGTATCCATCGCTGGACTTGCAGCGGGATAGACGGAGATGGGTGGCTAGTGTATCATCAAGCATCAACATCATCACATTGTAAGGTCTCGTACCCTGCCCTACCTGCATCCTACCCCAGCACCACGAGCTCCAAAATTCGAAATCTACGAATCTAACGTCTACAAGGATCATCCTGTGTCTTTAGGCCCGTCATCTCCGCTTCCTCTCAGACCTCATCGGGTTACCTACTTTGATCTGATGGGGCTTGGCACGGGTAGATTGGTTAATTTAAGTACACTGCGTGGGATGAATTAGGTTGGGAGCAATCTCGGGTGAAGGGATCAGTGGGTACGGGAATGTGGAAATGCGGTTTTCGGGGATGGGAGGTTGGGGATGGGCATTTTAGGGGTGAGGATGACTGGCCGCACAGAGCTTGGTGAGTGGATGTGATGTGAGGCTGTCTAGGTTATCTTGCTTCGTATCGTGGTTATGTATCAGATTGCACGATGAAGGAAATACGGGGTTGACCCAGACTAGGGCCTGGTCATGATTTGGACTGTTTATTGAAATGGGGGTACTTTTATGGCAGAGAATCATCACCGAAGACCTTGCTCTCGCAGTGAAAACTCCTGACGCAGCTCCTCCTCCGTTAACAAGCTCCACCATCGAAAAGAGTAATCAAACGAAGCTCTCATAAATGACTTATGCGTCGGGTGCTTCATGCCAAGATCAACCATGCGCTTGTCATCCCATATGGCAAACCCATATTGGCGCCAGCACTGAAACGGGTAGCAAAGCGTAAGCCTATACCCATCTAACCATCCATCGAGTGAGGACATGGCGGAATAAAAGCTGTACCCCCACAGTCCTTGAGATTCGATAGATCCGTGACCCGGAGCCCAGTTTCTGTACGAGTTGATGCGCTCTTCTTCGAACGCTTCGGTACAGCGACACTTTGATGCTGCCTCTTCGACGCAAGGTATCGTTGGCAGGCTATAAGCTTTGTGGTTAACAGCTTCCACTGAAGCAATGGTCCCAGAAGTGACTGCGCCGAGAAAGTCGCTGGCGGTCAAGATCTGCTCCCGCACACAGTTTGACACATCGTAAAAGCCATCCGCGCTGCTCTGAGACAATACGTCAACGTCCTCTCTCGACCAATCGGTGTCAAGGCTGCCGTTGTTACCGGCGCCCTGAAGTTCCAGGAAGAATTGCAATTGCCAGAATGATAGCATCATTCGAAGCTCCTCCGCCCAGGAAAGCGGGCCGGTACACTGTGGAACATAGTCCTTCTTGTGACTCTCGGCATTTTCGAATTCGTCCCGTCGTGTATAACCGGACCCATTCTTGATGAGTGTAGAGGGCCTTAGCTCCATAGATTTCCGTATCAAATGCTCAAGGCAGGCATGGGACCAGTCATGCACATTCGCGGCGTTGGCGAGCAAGGACCGTACTGCCTTGGCGGCTCGGTTCAGTCCAGACGAACGAATTTCTTCGGTGGCCATAGTCGAGTCAGTTTCAGCAACAGTTTGAGCCTCGGATAAGGATGCTGGGAAGACTGAAAACCGTGCTTTGAGAACCGCGCCCATTATGCGACGGATCTTCGATGTAACGGTAGCCTCCATAACCTCCTCCACAATTTCGAGCGGATATCTGTCGAGCACTCTGCCCATAGCGGGCGACGCGTGGGCCAGGTTCCGTAGTGAGAAAGGGTGAGGAGAGAGTTTGATTATCTTGATCCTGAGCTCCTCGGGAAGTTGACCAAACGGATCTTGTTGGGTATTCTCTGCCATAGTCGTTTCCAGCGCTCTCGGTATTGCTTTCAAGGATAGGGTCTGGAGAGAAGAAGGAGCCGTGGACTCGACAGAAATTATGTGCGCCTGCTCACTCTACTTCCTTCGCCTCGCGTACTAGCCTCATTCGGTCTCACGTGCACACGACTGTGCCGCTCAACCGCATACCTGAACAACACTTCGAAACATCCGTCTCGACGATGCCCAAGCCCCGCCCATTAGCACTGCCAGGTCGCCGGCATCAGTCGGTCTTCGCGCCGGGGCTTCTTCGCAACCATGCCTCTCTCCACGATTGCTCGTTTCTCCATCTCGAGACCTGCGCCTAGAATTGTCAGCTTTCCTACTATGAGCATCGCCACTGGGTTGAACGCTCATCGCAGATTCCATGGGCGATTTGGCGCTACAGAGTTGCAGTCAAATGTCTTACGCAGACTTCGGTACGACTGCGATGTAAGATTATACCTTCGACAGCCCAGCCGACGACGAAGTCTCCATGTCTTTGTACCGGCCCCAGCTCCCGTGGTTCGGTCGCTCAACTTCTTTTCGTACTGGTATTACTACTTGCGCCTTCGGTAAGTCAGCCCATAGACCCGAGTTCGCCCACTCGAGCTGATCTTGCAGAGTTCTGCACCTATTATATGTCAGACAGGGCGATTTTCTCACCTCTGAACTACAACTCCATTACCCGAACCCAACACCAGCGGAACAGGAATGTTTGGAGTGTGCTTATACCGCTCTGCAGATACCTAGATCGTTCAGTATCCTGGCTTATTTCAATGGCTTGTCTTACACTATCTCACGTGCAGATATCATCCGAATCTCGGATGCATGTTTTGCCCTGCGACACGTCAAGTCCAGCATGCGGTCGTACCCATCGGATATCCTAACGCGGATCCACCCAACCGTTAGGGTAGTTCTGAGCAGCCTCG